TTTTTTTTTTTTTGAGAAATTAAAATTTATTTCATCTTAGTATTCTGACTTAACCAATTCAATCCTTCAAAAAGACCTTCTCCAGTTGTAGCACATGAAGGATGAACATACCAGGCTCGATCTTTCATACGGTGTAATCCTAATTTTTCAGTTACTTCAGTAGGTGACATTGCTGGTAATGATAATTTAAGCGTTAATATTGACTAATTAACTAATTAATTGATTGATTGATTGATTTGTTTGTTTGTTTGTTTGTTTGTTTGTTTGTTTGAACTTACCGGTTGGTAAATCTTGTTTATTGGCGAATACCAATAATAAACAATCTTTCATTTCACGATCAGAAAGAATTCGATGCAATTCTTGTTTAGCTTCATCAATTCGATCACGATCTTGTGAATCTACCACAAATATAAGTCCTTGAGTTCCTGTATAATAATGACGCCACAATGGTCGAATCTTATCTTGACCACCTACATCCTATCATTATTTATATGTTGTAGATTAATTATGATTGTTATATATAAAAGAAATAAAGTTTTTTCTTTAAAATATCCTTCAATTAAATAACTTCTTGTCTAACATAAAATTAATCAATAAGAAACTAACCCAAACATTAAATTTAACATTTTTATATGTAACTGTTTCCACGTTAAAGCCAACAGTTGGAATAGTCGTCACTGATTGATTGAGTTTGAGCTTATATAAGATGGCTTAGTAAATTTTTGTAATAAAGTTAAGGATTATATGGATATAATTTATGAAACATCTAAATCAAATTCATGCAATTTGAAAATTTGAATATACATGCGCGCACATATGAAACTTATTTTGCTCTGAAAATAAAAAAAAGGATACTTGTTTTTCCTGCCGCATCTAGACCAAGCATTAAAATACGCATTTCTTTATTGCCAAAGATCTTGGCTAAAGTTTTTGATACAGACACACCCATTGTTGTTATTTAATATATTATAAACGACTATTTTTTTTTATTTAATAAATGTTAGATTCTAGTAATTGAAAGAAAGAATCGATGGGTGACTAATTTAATCCCACTATAAATTTATTCATTATAATTATTTATTTTATTTCATTTTTATTTCAAAATTATGATAATAAAGTTTACTGATTCTTGTTAAATGGTGATATTGCAAGGTAGCTTTTTAATTACAGCTTAATTTTTGGGCTACTCTTTTTAGTTAATTCGGTACTTGTCAATTAATTAGTTTACGAACTACTTTGGTTCTTGCTTACTTGCTGCCTTTTTTACAAAGCTCAAAGGTTTTTATAAAGTTCCTTTGTGATTGATTTATTTATTTCAATAATCAAAATAACAATCTTTATGCATCATGGAAATGACATTAACAAAAACAAATAACATATAATTTAAATGAAAATCACTATTATGATCGTATAATATTCAAGGTTTGCTCATCTAAAAAATTGTTTCTTTAGACAAATTTGATAGGAATCAGTACAAAAGTTCAATCAGATGTTCATTATAGCATACCGATTGGAAATAAAAATATAGAATTGATTTATTACCAAATGAGAATATTTTAATCATTAGTTGTCCAAGAGGCATCCAATTAGACTTTGAATTTCTGTGCAATTGATGTCAATTGGTTATCGAATGATGCCATAAATTGAAACAAATCGGAATATATAAATAAATATCAATCGGTTAGTAGTCAGGTCGAAACCAGATAGTCAATGCCAATTTGACATTGTTCTACCAGCGAAGCTTTCAATAATACCATTAGATTAATAATAATTGCGCAGATAAATTGAAATGAAGTTTTATAGATATAAAAATAAACAGTCGATCAATCAAATTTTAATATGCTAGATATCTATCTTTGGACTACTTGATGATTTTTTTTTCTTTGAAAAGATGATTTCAATATTATTCGTGTAATGATAATCCATTTGATCTTGCGAGTATCTGTATTTTTGAAGAGTTTCTTCACTCATAAACTCACTGGCCATGTCTCTTAATTCCACCCACTTGTGCCATTCTTTTTGAATATCTTGTTTGGTGGTTGTTGTCGTGGTAGCAGTAGCAGAAACAGTGGTGCTGGTTATAGGTTTCCGACAATGATAACTATGATTTTGTGACCCAAAAATTTCCGCTAATTTATTCTTTAAAAGCTCATCACCTTCAGGATAAGGATTTTTTAATTCAGGAAATAATTCGGGTATATTTGGAGGTCCATCAATATTAAATGTAACTTATTAGATTTTAAAAAAAACACGATAATAATAATCCATTAATCAACAATGAAAAGATACAGACAGACTCCTATATAGTCACACCTTGGGACTGAAGAATTTTATTTAGAAATCACCGATTTGAAAATCACGTGAGTTGAATATAAAATTTTGTGACTATATAGGAGTTGTGTGACTGTATATATAAAAGACTGAAAATGTAAAATTTAAACATACCAACAGCCCTTAAACCAAACCAAGGGCCAATCTCTTTGTGAACATTTAAAAAACAAACTCTGTTATAATAGGCGAATCCTGAATCTTGACATAACTGTTGAAATGCTACGAATTTTTTAGGTTCCAATTCAAAAGTGTACCTGACATCGTAATCGACTGCTGTATGTTTGTCGTTAATTTCGACATCGGAATTGTGAGAAAAACTAGACAATGTTTCGTTTATCGCCATTTCTACAGATTGCTTGGTGTATTTGTCCAATGGATTTTTATCGATTTTTTTCTCGTCGGTCAAAGAAAATTTATTGACAAAAATTGGCCAAATATGTTTGGTATTTGCTATTAAAATTGATAATGTAGAATCGTCATTAGCGGAACGTCCAAATGTTGGCAAAGGTTCTAATTGACGTTGCTGTTCAGATGTTACTGACGATGACGATGACGATAAAGGTGATGGTTGTTTTATCGATAGGTTATATCTAATAGATGTAATGATTATATAATTGTTTTTCTTTTTAAAAAATAAGAGTTTTTCTCTATTTTTTATATATAATACCTTTGAGCAGGAAAAGGTATTACAATGTCGAACCCTAACAGAAACAATGTTGTTTTAAAGGCTTTGGTTAATTCTTTCCAATGGATATTATGATTATTATTATTGTTAATATTCATTTTATAAATAAATTTAATTTATAAAAAAAGATCTCGATTTTGATATGTATAATCAGAGATAGATTTTTGATGATAAGATAAAATTTATTAATAAATTAAATTTTACTGTTTGATTGTAAAATGACCAAAAACCAAATTGTAACCATCAAACTCATATAAAATTCTATCAGCTCTATTATAACCATTAATGGAATTAGTTGTATTAATCAAAGTATCCTTATCAAAATTCTTGTCATCTTGAGTTGCAAAAATTGTCATTGTAAATTTGCGAGGCTTAAAAATGGAAATTACATTTTCAATTAATTCCACAGCAAATGAAGAATTTGTGAGAGGAATATTTGTTTCAAAAGAAGCGTAAGAACAAATTGGTTCGGGTGTTACATGAACATTAAAATAACTATCATCTAATAAACCGTTGGATGAATATCCACAAGGTTCAAATAAATAAGAATCTAGTTTTGCTGAAGGATATAAATTATCCAAGCCTGTCATTTTGTCTATACGAGTTCCACCTGTTAAACCTACTACATTCTCATCATTCTCATCATTCTCATCGATTTCATCTTTTCTACGATGAAAAATCTTCATTGATTCTTCGTTTAATTCTGTCATCAAAATTTCAATTGTCTGATCCGATATGTCGATCATTGGCTTGGAATCTTTTGTTTCTTTCGGTAAAGAACTTTTTTTTGATTCTTGTTGATTATTATTATTATCATTATTATTAACATAATCATTATAATGAATGTGATCATTAGATAAAATATCATTTTGTGGTGAAATTAAATATAAAAACCAATGATCTCCATTAATTTTCCCAACTGTATAGGCTGCTCCATCATCTATTTTGTTTGGATTTTTCATTTAAAATTTTTATTTATAAATATAAATAAAGAATAAAATAAAAAATAAAATAAAATCCTCACCAAAGAATTTATCCAAGAATTTCACCTCATCATTCCAACTGTTATGAGGATGTGATTGTAATTCTGGAAACA